ATATTGACTAAAATTCGTCAAAATCATCTCCGTTCAGAATCTTTTTTTGTATGCAATGATACCTATCATTACATTCAAATTTAACACTTCTGTAATATATAATAGTGATCCATACGACCATACGGCACCTAATGTACAACAGAGCGATACCCACTTACCCGCTTTTTTTTATATAAATCTTATGCTGTTAAAATGTTGATACCTAGTAATAGAAATATTACAGAATAATAGATTTTTTTTTTTTTAAGTAAGCACACCAAAAAATTTATTGTAGATTTTAATATAAAATATTATATAAATAACAGGACTGAAAGTAATATTGAAGGAAGTGAAAGTGACGGTAGCGATGGAGGATTAGAGGACCACGGAACAGGTTGTTCTTCCAAGGTGATGGAAGAAAACATTAATGAAGTTATGGAAAATAGTGACTGTGAAATCCAAAATACAGGGAAGTCCAAAAAACGCCAAAAGACAACATTAAAATCTCCACCAAGTTTTGGAGAAAATTTATTAAGTATTTTGGAAAATAGACAACGAGTGCCAGATGATCCTGAAAAATCTTTTTTAATGTCCCTCCTACCACAAATTAAAACACTAACCGAAGATCAAAAAACCCAACTTTACGTTGAATTTCTGAATGCCATACAAAGAATTAAACGTACATCTTATATTCCTACAGCAGCGCATGTACAAACGATACCACATAATCATTCTTATTCAAACTATTCCCGGGATCTCCATAACCCGTCTCCACATTTTGAATATACTACTTCAACCACTACATCGCCAGACAGTCAAATTCACCAACCAAACATGTTGTATAATTATGCTTCTTCACCAACTACTCCACCTGACGGATCTTATGGACCACGTTCATTTTAATAGTATGTAAAATGAAAAGTTAAATAAATAAGTACCTATAATAAATAAAGTTTTGTATTTATTACCTCAGTGTAACAGTAAGTCTTTCTTCTGAAGAGATTGGTACTCGTAAACCAGTTTCTTGTTTGGTCAAAGGTAGTCTAATCAATGATATCTGAACAAATTATTTTTTATCAATAATATAATATGTATAATATATACAGGTAAATAGGCATACTACATTATATTGGTTTTTAAGTAAGTACCTAATACCTATAGTATATTGGTTTTTAATAATCATATAAATATATAATTATAATTTAATATCCATATTATATTAATATAAATATATTATATAAATTATATGACTATTAAAAACCAATACGGCTAATAAATTATATAAATGTTCTTACCAGCTCATCAAATGATGCAATTGACATTCGGTAATACTTAACAAACTCTTCTGGATAACTGCGTAATGCCATGAATGTGACCTGAAATTGACCTTCTTGTGGCCGTTTAAGGTTCAGCGGATGTACCCAATGGCGTCTCTGTTTTTTTGGTTTTGGTTTTTTATTTAATTCATTATTTTCGTATAATGCATAAAGAACACACGCTGCTTCGATATCGTCTAAAATCTCCATATTGAAATGCTTTTACAACAGGCGTCTGCGTTAGACGACGATACGAGCAATACTAATTTAATTTGAAAACAATTTTGGCGCGCTCATTAGTTTGAATTTAGCTGCGTTCGCGCGTTCGAATCGCCTAATGTGTACGTCTGATCCGATCGCGATTTTAAATCGCGGCGTTTTTCAAAACGTGAACGTGAGCGTTCGAATCGCCTAGTGTGTACGTCTGATGCGATCGCGATTTTAAATCGCGGCGTTTTTCAAAACGCGAACGCGGGCGTTCGAATCGCCTAGTGTGTAATGCACTTAAATATTTCAGTGCTTTCCTTTGAGTTTTTTTGTTCTGCATTGGGCGCTTTTCACATACCGGTAAGTACAACTCTTATGTCTACTACTATATTATAATATCCAGATAAACTACAGATGTATTCGTGGCAGCGCGTATCGCGAAAGAACATGATATTTTCACCACCTACGTTTTCCGCTGGCCATCATGGCGCGTTTCGTATTTTTTTCGCGCAAATGTACTTTGAATACCCAACACTTTTTTATTTCCGCATTCGTATTAGCCGTATGTAGTCGACGTGTAAGTCCGTTAGCCGTTTCGGAGCGTTACCATCGCGATACACGTGTTTTGTCGCTAGGTACATTTTGCGTTATTTTGCTGGGTATGTCATTTTTCGTATTCTTCTATTTCTATTTCTATTCTCCTATTTCACGTAAACCGGTGTGCACCTTTTAATTCTAAAAATAACACAAGTCTCACACATCACCGCTGATAACAAACTGATACTGATCATAATATTGGATTGCAACAAGTTTTTCATATTTATTATTTACTTATTACCTATGATATTATTATATTATAATAGAGACTATAACCTGTTCGTGATGCTTTTAGGCTATTCAAAATGGTCAAACGCTGTGCGCTTTGCGGAATTGTGGACAACATCATTGACGTTTCCGTACACAAGTAATTCACTCAACACGTTAATACACTTATCAATGTATTATAATAATAATATGTCGCCTTAGATTTCCAAGTGCCGTACAACGTCGTCTTGAGTGGGTGGCATTTGTGGTTGACCAAGGTTTCCCCGTGAACCACACATCTAAGCTGTGTTCGAGGCATTTCGTCCCTGGAGTTGACTACGCTGTGGGAAACGCGGAGCGCCGACGTCTGTCGTCAACAGCAGTGCCGTCTTTAGTGAGTGTATACATTATATATTCAATAAATACACCAGTACACTATTACTAATACTGTTGTGTACTCTCATGAGTTTAATGTAGGTAGGTACATACTGCGTATGTTAGCAACCTAACTAAAATTGTATACCCAGATCGACTTTTACTGTATTGACCTAAAAAGAACACATAACACATTTTCTCAATGTTACTACTACACAAAGTAATTATTACTTACTGGATAAGTGTTTTACTTTATTTATACAATTAACTTTGTTTGTACTACAGTGTAACATATTTAATACTATTGTGTGTTATTTGATACACAGTGGTGGTAGACCGTAGAATAATTTCATATAAATGCATTTATTGCACATGAGTACCTACACTTACTGTTATAGAGTGCAATACATTTTTAAAATGTAAGTCATTGTTGATATTGTTACGGTAATACCTAACCATTAGATATCAACTCACTGTATTTTAACTTTTGCTATAGGTATTTACAACCAATGAACAAAATACTTAAACGTTTTTTTTATTACTACTACCACTACTACTACTTACCACTGACCTAGGTCTACTCTCCTTTATTTGTAAGTTACGGTTAAAATTTGATACATGCTTAATTATTATTCACTTTGCTCTTAGATACATACTATTATATACATTGTTTCTCTACATAACTTATACTTTACTTTACTACTATAGATACTACACAACATTCTTGAAAACTAAATGTCTATTTTGTCATAAAAATATTAATTAATAACTTATTATATTATAATTGTATAGAAATGAACACTTGACACATTTTTTTAATGTTAATACTACACAGAGTAGGTATTACTAGACTCTTTACTAACCTCTCCTATACTGGATACTAACAATTTTTGTTTTTGTTCTCCACATCTAAATACTTATTAACTTACCAACATCTTTGAAAATATTTTTCATATTTATTTTAGTCATTTATACATAACAAATTGTTGAATTGTATCATTCATACAGATCAACAGTTGAAATTAAAATAAATAAATAAACAATACAAATTATTGGTTTTTAAAAGGACGGATATAATATACCGTCAATCAAAAATGCTCGTAACTCACTTAAAACTAGATTATCGTAAAAATTATAAAATAATTAAAAAAACCACTGTAAAAACAGAATTATACAATATTATACTGTCCATAATCATTATTTCGGAAAGTTCTTTAAAAGTTCCTAAAATATATTTTACAAGTCAACATACATTTTTAATATCATATTGTGAAACATAACATTTTTAGTAGTATTTAAATACATGAACATTCAATTTTGATACTGTTTTATAGTTATCATTTTTAAACTTTTTACTTTTTAGAATGAGACCATAAAATTTTAAATCCATATTCTCTGGGTATTCAATTTTTTGAAATTAATTATCTGCCAAGTAGTTATAAGTATTTACAGTTTAGATGAGCAAAATAGAGTGGTACAGGGTACCCTTTAAGTCTTTTCACTATTCCTCTCATATAAACTGTAAATACTTGGCAGAATTTTGATTTCAAAACAAAGAAATACGAATAATGAATTTGAATCAAAAAATGCATGATCAAAAAGTAAAATGTTTAAAAATTATAACAAAAATAGTAGGTACCTAAAAAAAATATTTTTATTCGGAAATATTATAAAATTACAACAAATTATAAGAGGTTCATTTTTTTAAAAGTTAAAACTTTTTCAAATAATGAGTATTGATACAATTGATGGTTCACTCGGTATAATTAAATGTTATGTTGGAATATAAAAAATCATCTAAAATAATGTGTGTGTGTGTGATTAGAATTGCTTCAGAATGGTCAATTTTCTATCTTTTGTTTTTTTTTTCAGAAACCAAAGCTCTGTTTAAAAATTTGATTGCTGAAAAATGTCTAAAGCGTGTAAATAAATTAATCAAAAACACTTTATTAAAAGATTCACATGGATGATTAAAAGGTACATTATTCATTTGTTACTTTAATTCTGTGCCTACACCGTCTGTATAGGAAACGGAAGGGAAGTTGTCAATAAAAATATTTTCTAATGCAGATACAAAATTATAAAAGTCAGCATGAGGCATCATCAAATTTCCAAATGTTGAGTGGTCTCCAGTAGGGTATGCTTTGTAGAAACTCAAAAGAAACGACTGGTTTAACTCTTTTTGATAGTACGCATAATCCGTACAAACCTGACAAATATGTTTTTCTAAGCATTTTCTCATTAAATAACCACAAATATAAATGAATGCATTCTGTTCTGGAATGTCAAGTTGTCTATAGTCAACTGTACCAATATAAATTAAAAACGATTTTTGTCTGATCCTTCAAAATTAAGAATCTTTTCACATTGTTGTAGCTCTGAACCTAAAATTTCATCTAAATCTTCAATGCAATTTGCACCTGGAGAATGTTTAAAATAATTAGCACAAACATTTTTTTTAAATGACCTAGAAAACTCAATTGGTGTAGGATTTAAATTGTTTCCATGCTGTTGGCGGAAATAACAAAATACATTTTCTAAACAATCTTGATTTAGGCACCTAGTATAAAGAACATAATTTGGATTTTTAGTTGGATTTAAGGAGTACCACAACATTTTTAATGAAGATATTGTAACCAACCAACCATTAATAAAATTCATCATGTTGGTAATATTTGTTCCATTTAATTTATTAACAACTTTCATGTTCCTAAAAACTTCAGCCATTTTGTTTAAATGATTAATTTGTGATTCAGTATTTTTAAATGGTCTATTCAATTCTTTAAGATTAGGTGCTTTATAAGAATTGAATATGTCAAATAATTTGTCCATATCACTGATGAAATCAATAGTGTATTGGACGTTAGGAGGCAAAATACCAGACGTGAAAGTCGTAGACATACCAGAAGCAACACTATTACTGAAAATTTGGGCAGCTAAATAAACTCTCATTTTTTCAAATGGTCCTGGATGAATGTGTGCATGTTTTAGTTTTGGGGCCAAGCGAAGATTATTTTCAGAGTTATAGTTGTAAAAAGAATCAATATGTGCTTTAGTTACAATTGAATCATTAATTAAAAAGTTGTGTTTAAAAAACATGTTCCGAGTCGATTTCAAAAGATGTGGTGGGTCAAAAATGTAAAAAATTTGTTTGCCATCTACTTCAAAATATGGCTTGTTAGGAGAAACATAAAAGCTTTTTGAAAAACTTACAAAATTTGTGCCCTGATCTGTAATAAAAGCTTTGATATTAAGTTTAATATTTTGGAGGCGACAAATTGTTGACATAATTATGTCTTTCAGATCAGTACCGGTACAGCTACTTGAAACATGAAAATAAGCAATTGGTTGTTTCCAATTTTCATTTATTCCTCTTAGCATAAGGACTAAAGCATATTTGGCCGGTTCATACTTTCTACGAGAATTTGATTCATGAAAACCTATAATTTTGTCTTAAGAGACATTATAAAATAAATTTGTTTTTAAAGCCATTTCATCGGCACAAAGTACGCAATCTAGCGCCTCAGGCTTAAAACTACTTATTTTAAATGATACAAAATTAAAAAGAAAATCATTTAGACCAGCATCTATTTCGTATTTTGAAGTTACTCTCCTGAGTGTTAGTAGGAAGGGATAGAGGATTGTGCAATAAATTGTAAACTCTTGGATCTAGAAAGCAAGTTGCTTAATTTCATTAGAATGCCTGAATCCTCGAAAATTTCTTTCCTTATTCCTGATTTGAGATTTGACAATCGTAAAGAGGGTAGGTGACAAGTATTCTTTACATGTTTCTAGGCAAGTATCCAATGTATTGTTAGATTCATTTGCTATTTGTCGATTCAAATTTATAATAATTTGTTTCAACTCGGCCTGAACCCGTTCACTTTCCTTGAGTTTTTTCTGAAGAGCAACTTTTCGGGGAGTTTTAGATGATAAATAACTTGGTGTTTGTATACCAATAACACTAGTTTCAATATCCGTTAATGTTGATGCATTAGATAAACATGGTGAGTTTATGGATGAACGAGTAGAAGAACCTGGAAAAATTAAAACATACAATTCTATACAAGTTAATCATCCCTAACATGTATACAAAATATAACTAAAACATGAATTCAACAAATATTAAATTTTTCAATTATAATTAATACTTTAAGAAAAACTAGAGTACAATTATTATCCGCGGAATAAGTTCTTTCAGCGACCAAGGACAAGTGAGAATTTACTGTGTTTACAATAATATATTTTATTAGACATACCAGGAGGTGAATATGATAATGGCACAAAATCTGAAGTGCTACATTCAGGGTTATCATAATTCTTTGATTCATCCACATACTCAATTTTCATGGCATCAAACAATGTAGGTACAGCATCCGTAAATACGCTTCCGGCTTTAGTCTAGTTTTCTGAAAATTAGAAAACATATCAGTTTCAAAATGTAAAGAACAAATACGATACTTGGTGTTAGCAGGTAAATTATTGGTTGACTTTAGTTGATCACATTTGCAATTTTCCATCCAAACAGCACATCTAAAATATTTTTGTAAATATAATTAATACATTTTCACAGCGAATAAGACTTTTTAAATGGTATAAGTGATAACAGTTTAGTCAATTGCAATAAGACCTAGGGAAATATTATATGTAATATGCATTGTTTATAGACTATAATTAATTAACATCCTTACAACTGTGTCGCCATAAGCAACATAAATTTTAGAAAACATTAATATTGAATTTGTGGTCAGCCTGGTGCTTGCATACATATGGCGGAAAGTTTTTCGGGCGGCCGAGGTGTCCATTCTGATTTAATCTATTCTGTGGTACAACTCTCATCACATTACTTCAATGCTTAATTCACTGTTCTCTTATTTCATAACTATCATCACTTAGAATTATTATTACTTGGTATAGAAATTAGCCCACCTTAAAGTTCATATTTTAGATTATTTTATAAATTGCCTTTCTTTTGCGGTTCTACAAAACATTATGTACATGCTATACGCACAAAAGAATCATAACATTAAATTCATAATTCACAGATAAATTACATCCCATCATATAGAATAATGGTTTTAATTGTACCGTAAATATCCGACCACGCATACATATTCACTCATTAATTAGCTAAAAACAAAGATACATAATAATACTTATTAAATTAACAGTGTAAATTCATTGTGTTGTTGTGAAACAAGCCATTACATTATTATCAATTCAAAACGACGTGGATAGGCATAATACCTATCACATGTCCCTTCAATTTTCCTCCAAATTATATTTACCGGTATTTTGTGGTTCTACACAACATTATGTAGGTACTTGCTATACACACAACACAATCATAATAATAAATAATAAATAGATATAAATAGTTTTGATTTCACAGTATATACTTAATTAATAAATAATAGCACTTACGATATTATAGCCGATCTCAGAGTTAATATTTTCTACACATTATTTCATACCTTACTTTGGCGGTTCTACATATTGTGTACACACAACACAAACGTTTCTCCATTAACTAACTCTCAGCTACTACTACGACCTTTGGTTTAGCAATTAACTTAAAATTCATTATATTTCTCAAGGGTCTTGTCACTCGGTTCCCATGTTGTATCCGCTGTTTTTCCCGTACGGCGAGGCCGGTTGGCATATCGGGATGTTGCAAGAGGGCCCTCGACGAAATAATGTCAGTTTGAAGACAGTTTGCCTGCTTCCGTTTGGCCATTCGATATGAGGTTAATAACGATACGAGGCACCTACTGTTCAGTGCATTACATCAAGGCCGGTAATTGTTTCAAGCTGTGTATAACAGACATAATAAACATTCTATTACATAAAGTACTACACATAAATTAAATAAATATATTCAGTGTGTTAATTGTGTAGGAATTATGTACTACTTTTTAGGGTGGTTGTATACATTCACCATTACCTTTCAGTTTTATACTTCAATCAATTTATACATATATATATATAATGCGTTGTTTAGGTATTATTATATTATGTACTTCTACAGACAGTTCTATAGGTGGTCTACATTAGTACACAGTGTTTACCTACATACTACTTAGTATTTTTATTATAGGTATTAAATTGAGAATTATTACTATATTTTATGCATGTGTCATTTTTAGCAGTGTGTCCATACTTTTACCAATACCTTTTATTTTTTTTTACTTTTGCATACTTTACATTTAATGTGTTGTTTAGGTATTCTATTATTTTTTCATTCCAGCAAAAAAACACACTTTTATAGATTGGTATTTTCTTTGACATAAATTAATATTCCTATACCTTTGCTATTCTTATATAATATTATACGGTGATTCATACACAGATGATGTATTCCAGCTGATACAAGTTTTTAGTTTAACTTAAACATTTGATGCGTTATTTTCACAGTACAAAATATAAATTGAATTAAATATATCAATTATATACTAATTCCAACTCTTTTAATTATTTAACTTGTAAACTTATATTAATTACTATTAATATTTAGCTACTCAAGCCGTTTTTGTTTTACGTGTGCTACTACAACATTTATTTATCAAAACATATCATAATATTATATCAGTCACATTTATTGTATGCCAGACTTTACAAAATGTATAATTCAACGGTTGTAGGGATTGTGTTCGTCATGTGCATAATATTTTTCGATGTTAATAATGACACTCCGATTGTGTATCTGTTCACTAACAATTAAAGTAAAGAACTGTAAGTCTTCGTAAAATTTTCAAAATTTAGTTCTTACATAGCATGCCAACATTGGATCAAGGCTTAATAAAGATGTGTTTCTTAATATTAGACATTAATTAATGTTGATTTTAGATGGAATTAGAAGCATATTAATCTTTACGGAATGTTGCATAACAGTGAAATGAAATCGAATCGTATATTCCAGAAGTGTTAAACATTAAATGTTGATATAGCATTAAAAATATAATGCTTATGAAGTCTTTAATTAACACTAACTTATATTAAATAATTATTGCATGAATCTTAATCAACACTAACCAAGCCTTTATATTATCTTAAACAAATATTCATGTACTTAGGTACATTTACTAGGATGAGGTGAACAAAACCCCCCATTTTTTTTTTTTTTTTTACTATCTATAAGCTTCATAAATATAATAATATTTTGTGACAAAATAAAATGATTTGCATAACATCTAACAATTTCCCTGCAATTTTAGTAACATAACATTTGAAATATTCCCCGATTTATTTATATATTATTAAAAAAAAGGGACTATATTATAATTATAGGGTGTAAAAACTCATTGGTGTCTTTTAGTTTTATAATATGTATTTTAGTGTATGTGTATACTGTATACCTTGCATTAACTTATGCATGTTTAAGAAGTATAAAATAAAAAAAACAGTTTTGTGAACATTTCAAAAAATATAGTAAAAATTAAACATTTGCAGCATCAGTAATAATAGATATTTTTTTTTTATGTTGAATGGAGCCTGGATAAGAGCATTTTTTATATATTTTTCAGCATCATCCATGGCGTTATCGTAGTTGAATTTTTTTAACAGTTTTATAGAACCTAGTAATAAAACAAAACAATTAAACAAGATATTAGTTAACATTTTTTAATAATAATATAGAAAAATAATAAATGTTAATTCATTTCTAATTAGGTATTTACATTAAATTTATTAAATGTCTTCAATACTAAATTATGTATTTATAGAAGCACACTGGCCTACAAGGATACTATTAAATTGTGGCCACTTAAAAAAGTCTATAGAAAAATAAATACAAATTTTAGGTCCACAATAATGATAATGATATTAATTTCTCAAATAAGAATATTGACCTAATACAAATTTGAAAGGTAGGACTATCATCGTATAGGCTTTTTATTATATTTTAATTTTAAAGCGAGTAATGCCCCACATAACAATACTATGTTACTATAATGTTAAACAAGTGTACATGATTTAATGTTAGACATTATCTTAATGTAGTCATTCAGTTAAAATTCTATTAAAACAACGTTCCTACAATGTACATGCAAGGTGCTCTCGTTGATATTTGGTCAACATTCTGATGTTAAATTAACACCCGAATTCAATGTTAACATGTAAATCTGAAGATCATATTCCTAATAGGCTTCATCAATCTTAGATTAACACTTCTGTAATATTAACAAGGAAGTAATTATGCATCAACAAAAATATTACTGTAAGGTTAATTGGAACTTTAAAAAAATATAAAAATATGTGTGTTATGTGTTTTACATTGTCAACTAATAAAAATGATAAATAATAACATAATTAGGGTTAACAGAGTCTTAAATGATCGAATTTATGTGTTAATTAATCGTGTATGTTAAATTTCAACAAATAACTATCACCACTGTTTATCTTGTAGTTTTCTCATACAAATCGATGTGCCACACCATTTTTTTTTAATCGGCGGTTCGAGCGTGAAAAACGCGCGACAAGCTCAAAAATGATGTGACACCTGGATTCGTATGAGATTTTTACAAAAAATACAACTTGAGTATTTATTTTTACATTTAAGATAATGTTCTAAAAATAAATTGAAAAACCCAGATTTTGAAGGTAGAAAAAAAATTTCAAAAAAATCATCATTGGGTCATCACACTGAGTACGCATATACTAGTTTCCTCATTCATTTCAGAAACATCCTGTATATATATATTAAATATACAAATAATGCATAATATAATATACAAAATAGAGCATAGGTATTAAACAGTCGTAGGTATTTATACAAGAGGATGGGGAGGTTAATTCCTTGAACCTCCCCTCCCTGAAGCATGCCCCAGATACTAAAGAAATATTAAATATAATAGAGTGCACATCATTTAAATCAAATATTTTATTTATTATACATTTAACCCTACACTGCATGATATTTTGTATTAAAAAAAAATAAATACTTTTTTAAGGGAATTTAATGCTGAATTCGGAAAAAATGATTAAAAAAATGTATTTTAATTGTAACTTACCCATTTTTACAATTTAAGGGTTTGTAACCAATTGGCAACAGTGTGCAATAGTGACATGATTTTTATTAAAAAAAAAAAATTACTGATATGAAAACTTTCATTATATAACATGATATACTTTATAAACTTATAGTTATTAGTTATTATAACCCAAAATTGTTTATAATAATAAATACTATTCAAAATGAAATCAAAATAAAATACATAAACAAAACAAAATTATAAATAAAAACATGTTTTAGGTTACTTATAAGAGTACCATATTAAAATAAAAATAAGTAAACAAAACCAAATTAAATAGATATTTTGAAAACTTATATAAAAACTATAGTTTTCAGTCTTAAAAGTTATTTTTGTAGCTTTTTTACAGTTAATAATAATTAAAATATAAACAAAACAAAATTATTAATAAAAACAAGTTGTAGGTTACTTATAAGAGTACCATATTAAAAAATAAGTAAACAAAACCAAATTAAATAAACATTTTAAAAACTTTTATCTCAAAGCTACACTTTTCAGTCTTAAAAGTTCCTTTTGTAGCTGTTTTACAGTTAGTCATATTATTTAAAACATATCAACAAAACAAAATCATAAAAATATATTTACAATGAACAAAATCAAGACTATTTTTTTCTGTTTGAAAATGATTAACCAAATCTTCTTAGTATGGAAGTCAAAGAAACAATTGTTCACTTTGTTCATACATAAATTTACTTTGCATTTATAACATTTTGTGACCGAAAATCCACTGCACTGGGGTCTATTACATCGTTGTTTTTCACCTGGAATCGGTAAATGAAAATTGCCATCAAGTCTAACCTCACTAGTTGGTATTTTTGCAACTTTACCTCTTTTCTTTTTTTCTTTTCTTCAATGCTAATTAATGTTGGTCTTCCTCTTTTTGGAGTTTGAATTTGTCCAACTTTTGTTAGACAAGTAGCAATATCAATCCTAAATGCTTTAAGTTTCATTGGAGCATTATTACCATTTTCTTTTTGTACTCTTTTATACAATAACCAAGAATTGATTATTGTCATATCTAGCATATGATAAAAAAGCCGCATATACCACTTTTTTGTTCTCATGGTGATTTTATGTCGCCCAATCAAACTATCCAACAAATCAACGCCACCCATAAAACGGTTATATTCAATTACTAAAGCTGGACATTTAACTTCAATGTTTTGTTTTTTTTTCTATCAAAATGCTTCACCTTGGTGTATGGAAGTGATCCACAATAGTTTGAAAGTAAGGAGACATTTTTGTTATCTTTCCATGTAACTGAACTTTTATTTGTATTTTTGTATGTAGCCATATACTCAAAAGAACTTCCTCTTTTACATTTTTTTAGCATATTATCTGATGGTATTTTAGAATTGGGTGTTCGATTTTTCCGAACTGTCCCCAATGAATTTATACCATGTTCATTTAAATAATCTATAAGTTCTATAGTTGTGTAGTAATTATCAAAATATACCCTATGATTTAGATTTTTAGGAACTTATCTGGTTAACCGAACAACAACATTTGCACTGACCCCTAAATCAGGTTCAGTTGGCAGTCTATTTTTTGGCAAATTTTCACTACTAGTATAGATTTCAAATTTATCAGCAAACCCGTTTACATCACAAAGCATAAAAAGCTTATAGCCCCACTTATGAGGCTTCATTGGCATATATTGTTTGAGATACATTCTTGCTTTAGTAGCACACTGTTGTTCATCTACACAAAGATCCCTACTAAAAGGTATCCTTTGGTACTTATTATTTAGGTGATCAACAACCGGACGGATTTTATGTAGACGATCATTGTCAGGATGATCTTTAGGTAACATTGTAGAATTGTCATTGAAATGCAAATACCTACGAATTTTTTCAAAATTATTTAAACTCATAGTTTCTGCTATTGGTTCAAATCTCAATCCTTGGCTCCAATAATCTCTAACACTCGACATATGAACTACTGAAGTGAAAATGCAAATACCCAAATATTTTTGAATGTCTTTTTTTGTGAAAACATTATCATAAGAAAACAAATTTGTTTGTTCCACAATTAAATCATATAATTTTTCATCGAAGAAATAATTGAAAAATGACAATGGTGTAGATAAATCGGTGAATTTACTTGGCAGTGGTTTATCGGCAAATTTTACAAATTTTTGATAACAGAATTTTTTTAAATCCCTTAAATTTGAATTTAGGTAATTTATTTCCATTTGGAATTATTAAATTATTAAAAATAAGTACATTTAAGTGTACTTCGACCATTTATTTAGGACAGTAGAACATGTTACCAAAAAACAGTACTGTCCTTATAAAATAAGTACGTCTGGTCAGCATACCTATAACTCATAAATTTGCATACAGCGATGATTGATAGCTAGACATTCGATAACAATTATTCGCAGTTCCTAATTTCTTATACAATAAAACAGAACCGGGTATACAGCGGGGCACGGTATTACACCAGACGAGGAGAGACCGCTAGACACTCAGTCACGGTTTTCGTATTGCATGCCTCATCGTGTTACCCGACCGTTGCACGTCGTCCGCTATACGACGAAGTCGGATTGCCTACCTGCCAGACTACGCTCAAAATCGAGCCGGGTGACTGACTTATTAGACACTCAAAAACTGCTTCAGCTATGCGACTTAATTTCTTTTTGAATTTCCAGTTTTTTTCACTTGCATCTAGCATGCGACGATACACACATGCCCTATAACTCATAGATTTGCATAGAGCGATGATTGATGGCTAGACATTCGATTACAATTATTCGCAATTTCTAATTTCTTATACAGTCAACAAAACAGAACCGGGCATAAAGCGGGGCACGGTATTACACCAGACGAGCAAAGGCCACTCTACACTCCAAATCACAGTTTTCGGTACCGTTTAATTTCTTTTCGAATTTCCCGTGAAACGATTTTCACTTGACCACCTCGAAGGCGCCGGAGCCGGCTTACACAACTTCCGGAATCGAGGCACAAGGGCAGCTAGTATATTAATAAAGACGTATAGTTTATATAATTATTAGCACGATTTAAAAATTATTATATTACTAAGAATTGTTATATATAAATAAATATAAAAAATGAATCGAAATAATACAATTATCCACCTTTATGAGAAGATAAATAATAATAAGGTATTATTGCAGTCTTTGAAAGCAGGAGAGGTTTATTATGTTCAAAATTTCAAAAGTGTTAATGAATTTAGTAAAAACCAAAAATGGTGTAAAAGTTGTATGAGAACCAAAGTTAGCACTGAATTGGTAGCATGTGAATGTGTTCAAGTAATGTATTTAAGAGCTCACAAGAGACATTTGTTAACTAAATCCCACTCAAAAAAGATGGATAATATGAGTAAAGAAAATATTCCTCAAAAATAATTTTTGTTATTAAATAAAAATAAAAATTTCTGTTTTAAAAAAAAAAAACAATTTCGTAAATAAACTATATTAATAAATGGATAATCAAGTCTCATTAAGATTTATAAAAACTGAGGAGAAAAGTAAACACATAGATGTTTCAGAATGGTTTAAGTATTTTCAAGCACATAATAAATATTTAAATAAAAGTGAAAAACAGATAGAACATTTTTTAAGAAACTATACATTTTGCATACAATATGAAAAGAAAATGATTACTCAACATTTGGAAAGATTGTATAAGATTTTAATTTAAAAATAAAGCATTCAGTAAATAATGAAAGTAGATTAGAGATTGTTTTTAAATTAACTGATGAAGAAAAAAATTATTTTTTAACTGGTCTTCCATTTAAATTTCATGAAGATATAATAGAGCCATCCAATAAGGAACAATCAATTTATAAACCTAAGTTTTATGAAGAAAATTTTGAAAGCAGACATACTCAATTTGAAATTGGAAATAAAACTGGAATTAAAAATTTACCAGATTTTAATCTGGTACAAAGAAATCTGTTGTTAGTCTTATTAAGAAATGGCAAACTAAACATAAGGCAGTAAAAGCTCATTAATGTGTTGCCTGTATTCATGAAAAAGGTGAGAAAAATTGTAGAACAGTTAAAATTCGGAAACATATTGCAGTAAGTTTTGTTTATATTATTGTATATGCCAATGGTGATTTTGAAAGAAAAACTTTTGAATATTTTGGTGAAGATGCTCCAAAAGTATTATATAAAAATTAAGAGAAGATGCTATATAAATAGCTAAAAATTATTTAGATAACGTTAAGAAAATGAATGAATTAACCGAATTACAGAAAGAAGCAACAATTTGTCATATTTGTGAAGAAAAATTAACTAGCGTACCTAGACATATATTAAGTTACTTAAAAAAGAAATTTACTAGGAATATAGATATAGATATTTATAAAAAAACAGATCCTATGTAAGGTTCGATATCATGATCATTTAACAGGTTTATATAGGGGGCCTGTCCATAATTATTGTAATTTAACTTTTCAAGTTTCAAGATTTATTCCTGTTTTCTTTCATAATTTTACAGGTTATGATTCACATTTATTAGTTAAATAATTAGGATTTGATACCGGTGATATAGTGAGGAAAGTGAGTGCCGCCGCTGCGACAAAACAGCAATAGCGCGGTAGACGTCACCATCGACCGTATCACGCACACACAACACCTCTTTATGTTTATATTTGCATTATTGCATTGTTTTGTTTTTGTATAATTGTGTCTGCTGTGTATTGTGAGTTATATAATATGTAGATAATGAGCGACTCGATACCATCCGCTGCCACCTAGCTGGAAAGATGATTAATTAACACGGCTGCCCATTCCGCCAGTTCACCACAAACGGTCAAGCGATACCCTTATTATTATTTTACGTGCACGAATCGCCGTAAAATAATACAAACACCGAGTATTAACATTGTTAAAGGCGCTAATCGCCAAGATTTGTATTGTATCGTTGGTGAGAATCACCACATTTTTTATTCATATATTTGTAAGCGCAAATCGCGCATTTTATTATTATTACGTGTTATTATTGTTGTGTGTCAATTATAAAATTGTAATGCTGTGAGTGTCTTCCATTTAGAAACAAGTAGCGGCTGGCCAGCAGTGCTCCGTCAATCAGTGAGTTTTTGTTATTATTTTTATATTATATACATTATACCTGAAGGCTGTCTTCACACCTTTATTATAAACTCAATTTAATCACCTGGTAAAAACAGATCTTAATTGCTGTAACTATTGTCAGTTTATATTTATTTGGGTGATACAGCTATTGAGCTGCATATACATATTTTACCTGTTAGTCCAGGTCGTAGTAATTATTGATTCATGCTTATTATATTTTTTCATTTGTTATACCTACGTACTATGTTGCTGTAAATTAAATTTGTGTATTATCTAGACGTGTGTATTATACAGCAACAAATAATCAACCAATTGTTACCATTTTTTCTTGAGTTACCTTTCTCATTAATTATTGTTAAGTCTACACAAACACCTACATACCACCTACACTCCAGCACTTACAGGTTTTGCTCGGTGAACCTGTCCAATTCCTGTTGAATGCTAACTATAGATAATACATAATGGATAGGACATTCGACCCCAAACTGCATGCCAGAAGAGCACCAGGGTAAACATAGCGGTAACTGTAAGGTATAACTTGGTTACCTAACGTCATTAACTACGATTAGTGATAGTAACATAGATAACACATAAATCTTAATTTAACACCTGTTGAATCGTTGACTGTTTTGAAATTCGTACTTTGGTTTTATAGTTTTATTCTATGCCAATTCATTATTTTAAATTATAAAAATACTTTTGATTACTGGAAATTGTATTTACAATGGTACACAAATGTGTAGTCTGCCGAAAAAATTCCAAACAAAACGAAAACTTATCATTTCATTTGTAAGTAATAAATATTGTATATTTTAATAATTATATAGGTGTTTAATATCTCCGTACACTTTTATAGATTTCCTAAAGATTACAGAAAGCAATTGTGGATGGACGCATTGCAATTAAAACAAATAAGTGCTTGGAACCTTATCTGTTCAACACATATTAGTTCAGAAAGCTATGTAAACAATGGGTCACGTAATGTTTTAGTCAGAGATGCCATTCCATTTGCTACAAGAGAGTTGTTATTAATTTTAAAATATTTTATTCCACCATACATGATAAATTAGTAATAAATTGTAATTTACATTATTTCAGTTTAAATTTCCACAACGATGAAGTTTTGGGTAAATCCATAGAACGATCACTCCTTATGGAATCCAGGTATCTAATAATTACTAAAAATTTTGAAAGCTTGTGTAAAATAAAAAATAAACTATTGTTTATTAGATTAAATACATCACAAGCAGTCTCAAACACACCAGTGCTTACACTAATTGTAAATTCTAAAAGGTAATCACAAATAAATTTTTAAAATATTTAAAGTTTCTTATACTGAGTGTGCATTATTTTTCAGAAAGTTGTTTGATTCTGCTTCACCATCAGCAAAAAAAATTTCATCAAACTCAAGTTGATTTGGAGACTTTGAGGTAGACGATTTTGGCAGTCCAAATAGAGCACAAAAAAATGTTCCAATAGTACAAGCTACAATTACAGGCCTGAAAAAAAAAAAAATGTTTAGCAGAAAAAAATCGCCGTTTGGAAACTAAAATTCAGTCTCTGCAATGTATTATCAATGATCTTGTAACGGTCGAAAATGAACAACGATAATAATGGTAAATATTATACGATAGCGCTCTCCGTCCCGCGGGCATCTCTGCCCATATCCAAAACAAAGGCGATATGCATATTACGATAGTCGACGTACACACACACTATCACCGCTGCCTAGTACCCGTGGTTGAGTTAACTGGCCGACACTACGTTATAATCAAATACCGGCCAATAATCAGTTATTACCAAATTATCGTAGAATATTATATGTTTTTCTGCGTGTGTTGTGTAACGCATCCGACGCCCGTTACTTTCATTGTGCCTCTCTGCCGGACAACATGACGTGTGAGTAGGTACTATTTTACCGCGGACGTCCTGTGGACGACGCCCAGTCACACAATATCACGATTTGGTAATACCTACCATTCTTATTATTATTATTATCATATACTATACCTTGGCCGGTATTTCATTTCGTTTCGTTTCTTTTCTGTGTATAATACACACTATAGTGTACTAATATTATTGTATTATTATTATTATGTATTTGTTGTTTTTTTTTTCTAAGGTGACCCT